GGGGGGGGGGGGGGGGGGGGGGGGGGGGGGAGGTTAGAACAGCAGGAGGGAACATGTTCTACGCAGTTTGGTTGTAATCTAGCGCTCTTTCGGCTGCGTGTTGCTGGAAGGCGTTGTGCTCTTGATGGAGAATTCACTCGAGGACGAGAAGTCGCCCATTAGGATTCACGGAGGAAAAGGCGTCCGTGCGCTCCGGCTCGAAATACCTGTGAGACACGCGTCGCGCAACTCCACAACAGTGACCCTTGATGACAGACAGCGCTGGGGCTGTCTCAGCCCGCAGGGACATACACAGCAAAGCCTATCCCCGCACGCGAGTGCTGCCTGCAACGCCTGTGCAGTTCAGGGTGCTAATTAGCTGGTGATACAATTTTTTACCGCTCGTTTCGACGAAACATCAGGTCTGTCGGGCGTGGCTTGTCGAACCTGATGGCGCAGATCTATGAGCAGGATGAGTTCGGGGGAAACAAGCTCGAGTCCCAATGGAAAACCCTCCCGCGTGACCTACACTCGAGGTGCGAAGCAATTCAACGCGTTGCCCGGCGGTGTAATATTGTGCTTCCGTCTGTAACCACACGAGGGATTGCCCCAATGTTGATGATACTGTTGTGTTCTTGGAACGGTCCAGGGGGAAAAGTCATGAAGGGGGCGGAGGGGTCGAACTGCCATGTCCCCGCGTTGTCGCCGTAGATGATGTGTACGTGCTGTGCGGGGTGCGAACTCAAAGGTGAAATCGGAATGCCTGGTACGGACTGTAGAAGCGGCGTCCTTTCCCGTCGAGATGGTCCACTAAGCATATTTCAATGTAGCCCTCGACTTCAGCCACAAAGAGCTTTTGAGAGAATCCAGTCTCTCAACTTACGCTACAAAGGGCGTAGTACAACACAGCATCCGGTCGGTTCGTCTGGCTTTCATGGACGAAACAAAACACGCCCCGCTCTGCCCCTGGCCGTACCTCGACCGCCTGCAGGCCGGGCGCGGGAGAGGTCTTTCGGGTGCAAGAGCTGTCGGACTGTGACGAGGATGGGCTAGAATCCGTGTTGGCGACCTCCTCACCACCGGCGGTAACGACGGCGGCGGCCGCCACCGTCGCTGCCGTAAACATGGGGCACCAACGGGCTTCCCTGGAGCTGCGGAACTTGGCACTTGAGCGCGAGGTGAATGTGTGCCGCCGAGCGATGCGCCGGGCGGTGATCGGTCTATGCATCAGCAGCAGACAACACAGGCCGCAGGGACCGTAGTACTTCGCGGCGGTTAGTAGACCAAACATGAAACCGGTACACCCCTTTTCAGCTCGCTCATACGCTAGTGTCGCCACTTTGTGACTCCCCACTCGCACACGTGATTTTGCTTGTTCGCTTTCGCGGTCTTTGACGGACATCCTCTTGTGCTACTGTACCATTTTGCACAACTACAGCCCCACGAATTCCATGTCAATTACAAGGACCCAGCGCCGCGTTTGCCAAAACTATCCACACACGCACGCCACAGTACCGCTGTTTTTCATGCACATCGCACAATACTTCCCGGCAGGTAGAGCAGCTCAAGACCTACCTTCGAAGCATGGGAGGCGATGACGTCATCAACACCGACCGCCATCTCCACGGCCTGCGCCCCAGGCCTCGACCACACCAACAACAACGCGTCGGCGAGCAGGTGCTGCTGCACCATTCCACCGCACCCCCTCCCGTCTCAGACCCCCCTCCTTCCGTCACTTACCGGAGCGGCGGCGGCAGCGGCAGAAACGGCGGTAGTAGCTGGCGAAGCGGCAGCGGTGGTGATGTGACCGCACGAGGCAAAGCCAACGTCGGGCGAGCGAGAAGATGGTCGGACAGCCGGAGAGGAGGCGGCGCGCCGGACCCGTCAGTCGTTGGAATACATGCCGGCAGGCACTCTCCGCGCGCGGCGGGCGAGCCGGACAGCAGCGTTGCTGCCTCGCAAGACGACACCACCGTCGTCGTACGCGCGCAACAGCAGCCCGCTCCTTCCCCTCCGCGAAAGCGCGGCGGCGGCGGCGGCGGCGGCGGCCGGGCGGCGGCCGCGGCGGCAACAGCGGAGTCCCCGGCCACTTCCCCTCCCGTGAGAAAGCTCCGATCGGAGAGGCTGCGCTCGCCGGTTTGCGCTGCTGGTGCGTCGGTGGCCCAAGCGCCATCCCATCAAGGGGGTAGGGGTACCGACAACGTGCCACCGTTGCTGGACGCGACGGAGGTCGGCCCTCTCGACGGGTTTGGGGGAACGAGCAAGAGCGACCACCGGGATGAGGACGAGAAACCTGTCCTTGCGAGTAAGCTCGGGCGTTCTTGGATGCGTTCGATGGTTTGTTCGTGAGCTTCGGCAAGATATCAAATGCTGCGGACCTTTTTGCCACCGGCCTGTCGTCGTGCAGCAGCAGCAACAAGGAACGAAACGAGCAACAACATCACAGAAAATGGCGACCGCCATGCGCAGAAAAAAAACACAATATAAGACTCTCGAGGAGATTACCACGAGGTATCGCGTACAACAGTGCGGAGAAACAGTGTACACCGTCGTGCAGCGAGAGCAATAAACGGCGCGACGAAGCACTCGTCGTGTGCCGAGAACACGAACGATGTTGTCGCGACTTACTTCCAAACTCGTAGATTGACGACCGTCACGATCGCATGTGGGTCGCAACGAACGGGTACACCCCGTCCCTTTCACGAGCAGCATTGATTGAAAGCTTTGGACAGGTAGACCGACCTAACCGACACTATCCACCCTTACCCGCCTCGCCTTTTTCGGTAGATCCCAGGCAATCGCCAAGACACGATTCGTCCGGCGAGGTCGGCGAAAGTCGGGCGTTGCCTCGACTGCGGGTGGAGGAGGCCGAGCGGCGGCGTGGCGCGCCGGCTAAGGCACGACCAGCCAAGAAGGCGATGAAACTGGGGGGCATGGTGTCGGGGATGAAGCACACGCTTCTATCCCGAAGGTGAGATACTTGCCGTCTTCCACGAAACGCTGTGATGTGCAGAAGACTCAGGCTCGTCTTGCTGACGGCCACAGGGATCGGTCGTCTTTCTGAATGGGGGGCTCTCGGCCCATCTTTCAAGCCGGCGGAACGAAACAGCACTCCCCGGGTACATACATACGTACGTGTGCGCGTTTCTTCGCATCTTACGGTATTTCCCCCTTCGGCTGGACTCGAGCACGTCGCGCGAACTTGACACGCGAACAGACGTCAAAATTTCAAATCCATTCTATGTAACCACTTGTAGAGGTGGCACTGGAATAGACATCAGAACGCTTTGCAGGCGTGGACGGAATACCACCAACGACACCGACGAACAACTCACCCTGCGTGAGAGCTACACATATACATGGCCAGCTGCGGCGGGGCCTTCCGACGATCGACGTTGCCATCGTATCCTCAACCCCTTGTCACGTGCTGGTGTCTTCTCGTTCCCTGCTCAGACGAAGCGCAGGGGACAAAGTCACGCCGCTTGTCGTCCCAGCTGGCACCCGCGCCTCCCCTGCACCCGCACCCGCCGCTAGCGGGGGCGGCGGCGGCAGCAGCAGCAGCAGCAGCGGCAGGGGAACGGAAGTCACCCTTGCGGCAGCCGATCCCGACGCACACGACTCTGCCGCTGGCGACGACACACACGCGGCGACAAACACAGAGCAAACAGCCGACAAGACAAAACAACGCGGCTCTCACCGTCCAGCACGGGGAGGGGAGAGAGGCTCGGCGGTCTCCTCCTCCTCTTCCGTGCCACCACAAGAAGCGGCATCAACCGCAACCGGAACCATAACGGCCATGGCTAGAGAGCGCCAACGGGGACCGGGGGTGTTCGGAGGACCAGCTCGAGGAGGCCGAGCGGGGGGGGCAGGGGAGGGAACCCCGGCATCACGAGCATGCGCAAAACAAGCGCTCACCGATGGCATCTCATCAGTGACAACGGTCACGCTGCCGTTTGAGCATCTGCCCACCGAAGCTTCTGGCAAACAACGGGCTGAAACAGCCACGGAAGGGGTTTCGGGGGCGTCGGCACCAGCAGCGGCTTCGGTGGAGGTGGCAGCAGTAGAGGCGGGAGCAGCGGTCGCGGACGAAGTGGAAGACATTGCTGAGAACAGCATGCCCGTTTACGGGCGGTGGCCGGCGACACTCGATGCGCAATGGGCGGAGGTTGAGTTCATGCTGTGCCACGAGGTGGATTGCGAAGAGAGCCTGCAGTACACTATCGAGGCGACAGAGGCGGGGTTAGTCTTTATGGACAAGCTGGAAGAGAAAGCACAGGTGCTAAACAACACTGTGCTAGCCAGGCGTTGTTGGGAAGGAACGCGTGTGGACAACGCAAATAACGGTGTTGCCTCTGCGTGGGTAAGATAGGGCGGTTGTCTGTGTTCTAAGGACAAACAAACCGGTTGTATCGTTGAATACATTCAGCAATGGCGGGCTAACCGCGTCGCTGCTGACCGAGGATACGACCGCCGAATCTGTGGAGCTTGACTCATTGACGTTGAAATACTCAGAAACCAACTGTTGTTTAAGATAATCCCACTTTTTCACCATCCGGCGACGACGTTTGTACGCTTAGTAATGGTTTCTTCAACGTCGTGGTTATTCAAGCATGCTGTAAAATTGTCAAAACACCACGGAAATGTAGAACTGTTGACACCATATTGTCCTCCGTCTCCCCCTCCGCCTATTTCGAACCGACCAGGAGTTGGGCGTGCTCAAGGGCCAGCTAAGCCGCTGGCTACTCCCCTTTAACGCCGATACGTCCGTGGAGGAACAGCAAGCCGCCACCCCGCGACGGTTCCAGGAATCTTTGCTCGCGTCGTCGGCGACCTCCGGCACCGCGGGCGGCGTTGGCGCCGGCGGCGATAGCGGCATTAGTAGCGGCGGGGACGGCGGAGGCAGAGGCAGCGACAGCGGTGGTTTGACCGAGGAGGAGGCGGAGTATCTTACAGACGGGGCGCGTAGAGTTCGGCAGCTGGTGAGGAAGGGGATTGGGGCAGAGGATTAAGAAGCGGTTCGTGTGGCTTTGTGAGGCGGCCAGCATCGAGTTGGTCGTTCTGTGGACTCGATCGCCGTATGTCGCTCGTTGTTGATTGCGCGCCATGTGCGGAAGGAAGCATACGCAACTGAAGCGCATTCGTTCGCCCCTGCGCACCTCTGGTACGAGGTCGTCCCCTCGGAATATGTCTGTTGCTCGCTTCTCCAAAGGCACACACATAGTTCATGTTTCATTGAGCACAAGTCATGTCCTGCTGGACGAAGCTACATAGCTGCTGCTGCTGCTCCGCCCAGGTGAGACTAAAGATCGCCGACGACAACGATCTCAACACCGCGAAGGAGGCCCTGATGACCATGTCAGGCTTTTTTGTTAGCATCTCCGAGGAAGCGGCGAAACGAGGCGGCGACGCCACAGCCTTTGGCGTCCTCCAGGTTAGTACGGCTGGTCGTGATCGTTGCTCTTCTCAAATGTTCTCCTTGCTGAGAAACACAACAGAACGAAAGCGGACACAGATGATAGTGTGGTCTCCTCCTTCACCACCGTCCCACGAAAACTACGAAAACAAAGTCTTCTCGTCGACGATGTATGCTTCGTTTCTTCCTATCTTGGTCGTACTCTCCGGTGCGGTGCCTTCCATATTTGCAGGAGCGGCGCGCGATGTCTCCTATCATGCGCCCGCCGCCCCTGCCCAGCATTCCGCGACAGGCACCAGCAACGGCAACAACAAGGGCAACCGACCATCACCACTCAGCTACGTCTGTGTCCGCCACGACAAAACATACCGACCCCCAAAAGCTAAGCGGCTGCGATGGGCGGGGGGCATCGCGCACCCTGGCCTCTACGGACACGTCGGCGTCGGTCGGAAAAGTCACAGGCCTGACGGCGGCGCGACAAGGAGATCATAGCAACATCACCACCATCGGTGATGGCGGAAGAATGCCGGAGGCAAAGGTGCCGTCATCATCGGGCGAGAAGAACCGCGACGACGACATTGATGAGGGTGGTGTGCCTTACCCCACGGCTCGAGCACCGGCGGCGGGGAAGTCGGACGCGGCATCGGTTGCTCACGTTGACGAGGCTGCTACAACTGCTGCAGCCGCTACCGGTAGTGGTGCCCTTTCGAGCGCACACAACCCGCCGACGACGGGGGAAACGAAAACGTCCGCGACGACGGCGACACCCACCGAGCTTACTCGGACTCCTCGGGACAGCAGCAGCAGGAGCCAGGAACAAACGGCAGCAGAAGCGGCGGCAACAAGAGCAACGTTAAAAACGGAGGCCGCAGCAGCACATACCTCCGAGAGACCAGGAGCGCTGCGAGGAGTAGGAGGATCTCGGCAGCAGGCGCGAATTGCTGGGAAGGCAACAATTGGTGTAAGCAGAAGCATTTGTGGTCGATCGTCGACTTCGAAAGACCCCTCGTCTACGACGACAGCGTCCGCCGATGTCGCTGGCGGCGAGCGGGGGATAGCCGCGGTGTCAACGGCGGCGACCGTACCGTCGGGCTTGGTAGAGCACAGCCCTCGGTACGGCGCCGGTGGCGCAAGTGGGACAGCAGTAGAGGTGGCGCCCGCGGGGTCTCTCGTGCGTCTGAAGAGGAGGCAGCAGGCCAGGGCCCGTTCTACCAGCCAGCGCTGATTTTAAAGGTGTTGCGGGCACTGTCAGTGTCTGCAGCGCCACTAGACCGGGTGTGGAGGTCCGTGAATGAATGGTGTTTCATGTAAGATGGCGGTGGTGTGGGTCTGGCGAAGGGGAGGTGTGCTTGAAAATGGAGCAAATTAATGCCACCTTCCTTGGGACAACAGCTGCCCTACACGCCTCCCTGTGCCCGAGAGGTTTAGACGTTGACGACCGCTAATCCTAGAATATCTGTGTGGTTCAAACCTTCGAACAGAGTCATCTGTGGAAAATATTGACAAGGTTTCGGAGGCTACTTTCATGCACTCTGCCCGACCTTCACCCACGCAGACAATACCAAGCGGCCCTCATCCGTCATGAGGACACCGAATCAACAACTACAAACAGCCGTTCTCCGTACGCTTTTCAATTTCGCAAGTCAGTTGGCACCGGCCACATCCCGTCAACACCACGACTACACTCGCTCCAAAGGTGGCCACAACATAGCTGTTGCCACAAGGAAAACAGCGTGAACGGTCATCGAACAGGGTTGTCCCCAAGCGTATGAGCCACTCCCAGGGAATGGCAGTCTATCAACCGCCTTGGGAAGTGAGAGGGGTCTCAACGTCACGGGAAAAAGAAACACCTACACAGAATGGTTGCTCACACCTCCCTCACCCCCGACGCGCGCACGCCCGTCTATGGAGGGCACAAACCGGCCAACACCCGAGA